ATATATATATACATATATACACATCTGTATGTACACACACACACGCACACTATATAGCATGCATATTATATACCGGAGAACCCAGACCGCCCCTGCCAGGTGCGGCAGCAGGTCGAAGCCGTGTCCCTCGGGTCGGGCTCTCCAGCTTTTTCATCGGTTCCGGGTTTAGGGTTTAGGGCTCAGGGTTTAGAGTGTAGGGCTTTGGGTTTAGGGTTTGAAGGTTTAGGGCTAAGGGTTTAGGGTTTAGGGTATTCTCAGGGTTGCTACACGGGCTACTAGAACGGATACTGCAAGGGGTCCTACGAGGAATGCTCTAAGAAGACTCTAAGGGTTGCTCCAACGGTTACCGCTAGGCTTAGCATACGGTTGCTTTTCTTGGGTGTCTCTAGGACATTCTCAGGTGGGTAGTTACCGCTATAGGACAGTAGCCTTATACAAGGTCTAGATACCTTACAGAAGCCTTCTAGAAGCCCTACAAACCCTAAACTCCCCACCTGTAGTTTCCTTTGGAGTGTCTGTGAGAGCTGTTTTGGGTGTGGGGCGGGGTTTGCAGGGTTTGCGGGGTGGGACTCAACAGCCTGCATGTAGGTTCTAGGTCAAGGTAGTCGAGGTGTACTAAGTAGGTAATATAGGGGCCTTAACAATTACTTATAATATTTTGGGAGGTTCCTTATTATAATTCTACTATCATATACCCCCAGAAGGGAGACCCTATGCAACTCTTCAAGGAGCCCTCGAACCTCAAAACAACCCCTCACAGGGAACCCTCAAAGGAATCCGTAAAGGAACACCGATTTGCCCTAAACCCTAGATCCCGAGACCCTCAACCCTAAACCCTAGACCCTAAACCCTAAACCCTGCAACCCTAAACCCTACAACCCTAAACCCTAGACCCTAAACCCTACGACCCTAAACCCTAAACCCCAAACCCTGCAACCCTAAACCTATCACCAAAGTAGCCCGAGGCCACAGGTCCGAGAGGGCGAGATCGTATTCGGCGTGCGCCTGAGGGATCCCATCCGGTTTAGGGTTGAGGGTTTAGGGTTTAGGGCTTAGGGTTTAGGGTTTCGGGTTTGGGGTTTGGGGTTTAGGGCTAGAGGGGCTGCCGAGATTTTGTGGATTTCAGACAGCTAGGGCCTAGGGTGTATTCTAGGGTTTAGGGGTTTAGGGCTTTAGAGGTTTATGAAGAAGTCACTGCGGATGATCCGAGCGAGATGCACGCGAGGATCCCTACAACGGACTATCGGCAAATGGAATTCCCAATTGGTACGTTGTGCGCTCTTGAAGCACATGTATGCATTCCAAACAAGAGTCCAGGATGTACAACAGGAACATGACACGGAACTGCCGAAACCCTAAACCCTAAACCCGAACCCCTAACCCCTAAACCCTAAACCCTAAACCCTGCACCCGAAACCCTAACCCCTAAACCCTAAACCCTAGACCCCAAACCCGGGCCAAAAGGACGTCCCCTTTTTCTGAGCCTACGGATCTGATTCGAGATCTGGGAGTTTCCGAAAATTAGGGTACCTTATTTGGGGGTCCTTATAATAAGGATCCTACTATTTAGGGTATTATATTAGGGTCCCCTAGAAACCCCCATCTAGTCGGCTCGTCACAGCTTTTTTGATTAGGGCGTTTGGGTTCAGGGTCGCAGGCTGGAGGGGTCCTTTTTGGGGTTTGGGTTCAGGGTTTAGGGTTTAGGGTTTAGGGTTTAGGGTTTAGGGTTTAGGGTTCAGGGGCTGGGGGTCGGGGGCTTGGCTGGAGGAGCTTTTTTTTTCGCAGCCATCGTAAGGTCAGTCAGGAACCAGAGTTTTTGGAACAGCCAGATTTGAGCCATATTCCTTTTTTTTTGGGGGTATTGGGCTGTCTGGGATTAGGGTTTAGGGTTAAGGGCTGCGCTTGTCACAGATTTCCCTAAACCCTAAACCCTAAACCCTAAACCCTAAACCCTAAACCCTAAACCGAAATATAGTAAGCTTATGGTCAGGAACCCTAAGGATTAGTATTGGTAATCACTCAGGTAGGCCCTAAACCTTACAGTCTAAACCCTGAAACCCTGAAACCCTGAAGCCCTAAACCTTGAAACCCTAAACCCTAAACCCTGAATCCCTAAACCCTAAGCCCTAAACCCTAAAGTCTAAACCCTAAGCCCTAAACCTTAAACCTTAAACCCTGAGCCTTACTTGGAGGATCATGGGACTTAGTGAGTAAGGTTATAGGTCCCCTAATTGGGGTTATAAGTATAGTTACCTTAGTTATAACCCTACTTACTAAGTCCCATGATGCTTTAAGCAAACCCCTAAACCCCTAGACCCCTAAACCCTTAAACCCCAAACCCCTTAACACTAAACCCTAAATCCTGAACCGAAGACGGTTCTACATGTAATGTAGGGGCCTACATAATTACCAGTACTATTTTGTTGGGGGGTTCCTGATTATAATTATAGTATCCACAAAAACCCTATTCTAATTATTACTGCCCCTACATTATATCCTTATAGAACCCGTATAGTAACCCTCACAGTATAACCCTGTAAAGGAACCCTATTCTAATTATTAAGGTCCCTACATTGCTTAAAGGATCATGGGACTTAGTAAGTAGGGTTGGAACTAAGGTAACTATACTTATAACCCCAATTAGGGGACCTATAACCTTACTTACTAAGTCCCATGATCCTCTAAGTAGGGTTTAGCGACGGGCTCGCCACCATCCTTTTTGGAAGAAATCATCGACACCAGAGGGTCAGGGTTTAGGGTTTAGGGTTTAGGGTTTAGGGTCAGCTGCTGCGGCCAGCCCTTCAGCCTCAAATCTGTAGCTTGCGGACTCCTGCAATATAGGGGTCTTAATGATTAGAATAGGGTTTTGGGGCCCATTATACTATAATAATAATAAGGAACCCCCAAAATAGTATTGGTAATTATTCTAGGCCCCTACATTAGCTGTTGCGCGACGACGATACTCGATGTTATAAGTTATCCAGCTCCGTGCACCACTCTCACCACAGTCCGAATCAGGGCAGCAAACGCATCACGGAATACAACTACGGAATCGGGCGAAGGGGACGAACCCACGAACATTTATGTAGGGCAAAGTCACGGTTTAGGATTTAGGGTTCATGGTCAGTCCCGAGATCACAGTCATAAGGTTTAGCATATTTATCCTACATGTGAGGTGTGGCTCACATCTATGCCTCCTTCAACGACACCTTCGTGCATGCCACCGGCTTATCTTGACATCGATGCCGCTTTAGGTTTGGGGCTTTGGGTTTCTGAAGACATCCAAGTTGCGTTTTGGTAAGATGGGAGTGGCGTGGGCGCTGCAAGTTTCTCTATGTCAGCGGTATGGGGATTCTACAGAACAGGGGGGGGGG